AACTTTTACTCTAAAAGTAAAGTAAATATAAACATTTGTTTGAGTTTATTCCATTGTTTCAAGTTACCTCAAAAACACCGTCCGTTTTCTGCTTTTTAAGAAGATCCTACATTAAAAGTTTTTGTTTAACAGGAGTGAATAGAAATTTAGTGGAAGGTAAAATTCTTTCAGTTTTTGCTTCTAAATTATTTTTAAAGACATAAAACAATTGTTTGATCAGGCATATTTTTGAAATTTATAAAAAGTCAAATAATTATGTACATAATTTTAACTGCTAAAATAAACATTTTCCTTAAAATTCTCTTCAAATTTAGTTGTGATAAATTCTTATTTCAATTATATTGATAGTACGATAACAGGAAATTCATCAGATTCCATCAGAATTTCTCCTTTGAAAAGTAGAAATAAATGTTTTCAAGTACTATGTAACCATAATATTTTTACTATTAAGCATTTGAAAAATTTTGCATTTTGCCACGATAAATATGAGCTACTGAAATAAAGAAGTGGACTTAATTTTCACTTATTACATAATTCATAAAAATAATTATGTCTGTTTTTGATTTTCTAAATTATAGTGATGCTGACAAAATTGATTTAAAATTAATTAATTACAGCATAGTTGCTAAATTTACTTCAAAATCAATTATTCTAAATTAAATAAGTGATTTAGATGGATTTATAAATTCAATGTTATTTCATTCTCCATAATCTACAATACATAGAACAGAAGCCATGGTCACAATTAGAGATGGTGGATTTGATATTTCTGAAAGCCAACATAATCTAGTATTATACCCTGCGACTAAATATGTTTGAACTAATTAACTAATTAAACAACGTTTAATAATGTGAAACGCTGAATCTTCTGACCATCAATCTGCTACAATGCGTAGAGTTGCGATACAGAAATTTAAATCTTTCGTGGTATTCGGTGCTTTGATGAGCAATATTCTCTGTGGTGGGTGGTCTGACATTGAATTGGGGGCGTAATGCAAGCAACTGATCGATTTTCATTTCGTTACATACGGCATTTGCTTCAATAACGTTCTAACGGTGGCCTAAGGGAGATTGATTTGGAGGATAAATGTGATGTCTCTTGTAATTGGCATGTCTGCTTGAATAATTAGATTTTGATCAACGCATTATTGTTGGTAAAATCACCTCTTACAAAATAGTCTATCACACTAATGGATATATATATATATATAAATTATTTAGAATTTCTAATGCTTTTTTTACTGTGTTTCATTATTTGATTATTTTACTTGTTTTTTTATATATATTAAAGAAATTTCAAAACAAAAATTCATATATAAATCTACTAAAATTTAAATTATGAAAAAAATATATTTACATACTTTACTTTTGGTTGTAACAGGTGGAATATTATGCGTAATGTTATGTATGCATGTACTGAAATATCTGACAATTTTTTTAAAAGTTTTTTAGTTAAGACAATTTTTTGACCTCTTTTTTGCACATTAAATTTCTTCCAGGACATCGATTTGTAAGCTTTAAGAAGTAATGAATGAATATTTCAATTGTTTATTTTTTTTTCATTGAAAATATTGTCTTTTTTATTTTCATAGAAATTATAATGCAAAATTATTATTACTCCTTGCACTTCCGATTGCTGGAAATTGATATATCGCGAGCAGGAAAAAAAGAGCCTGAATGAATAAGGGAAGAGAGCAATAAAATCTTAGCTTGCTATATTTCCGGAATTAAGAAAATTAGTAATTTTATAATTTTAGATACCAAGAGAGGAAACAAATGAGAAAACGAATGAATCAAAAGATAAAAATTGAGATGTTACAACTGTTAATTAATGTTACAGAAAATGTTAGAATAATAACACTTACTGACCAATCAATTAGAAATTTGGAAGATTGTCTCTTACTTTATTCGATGTGTACAGGGATTTGTTGGCAGTATCATAATGAGAGAAGTATTCTGCTTATATGGAAATGGTACCTTAGTGTTTCACAAGGATATAAAAAATGCCATGCAAAACCTGGGCACATTGGCAATTCAAATTCCTCCTGGAATGTTAAATTTTTACTATGGAGGTGACGGATGGTAGATCGTGTTAACAGTACATCGTGTCAGAAGCGGACAAAATTGATCAGTGAACATCAATCTGACTTCCATCACCTTGATTGGCCACTGCAAAATCCGTATCTTGATCGAGTAAAACTATTTAGGATATTCTGGAAACGCGCATCCGGTAATATTCTACTCTTCTAACAAATTTACGGAATCTAGAAGTCTGCGTAGTCAATGTGTGTTATTCTTTGAACATAAGGGTACTTCAGAAATTTGTGGAATAGATGTTTTCTCGAATATGGGCTATTATCCTAAAAGAAGATACAAGAAATATTGGTCGTAGGTTTCTCGTTTATTGGATAGCGTGTATTGTTCATACTCTAAACTTCTGATCTGTCCATACATAGTGCATTGGCGTACATAGTGTAGGGGAGCAATAAATATTAGTTTAAAGAAAAATCTCAAGCAAGACAAAATGTTTCTCCATTGAACACGAAACGGTCAAGCATAAGAAACTTAAAACGCGAAAAATTAAGTAAGTAAATAAATGAAGAATAATCACATAGATTTCGCAGTGTACAATAACAGGTAAGATTCATTGACTAAAATGATTAGTACAATTAGCAGTTAATGAAATTTTTGCTTGAAATAATTCTGAACATGATGTTAAAAAAATAAAGTTAAAATGAATTTCGCTTATTTATTTCTGCAACTTCATTTACTTTCAATGCCGTGTTGTTGTCATAAAGTTTTAAGTCGATATTTTTGCATCTTTTGTTGTAATTTAGTAATGATATTAATTAAAGCCAGTTGAGCAATGTGTATTTTTTAAGTATGTATGTAATTGAAATTTTAAGAATTTGATTTTTATATTTGTTTTAAGGCGAGGTTGTATTCTTTTGTTTATTATTTAAAAAAAACGATCTATAGATATACTTTTCATTGTCAGTCGACTTTTAGATATCATACCCACATTATAAAACCACTATACATTTGGTGAAATTGCATTTTAACATTGAAAAACTGACGCATGAAGTTATGCATCTCCAATCTTTTTAATATTTTTATTATTTAGCATTATATATATAATAAAATTAATTATTAGCCCTATTTACGGAAATAAAAGATCATATTTCAGTGTTTAGCTTTAGATTTTGTTTGTTGATTCAACTATATTTTAGTGAAAGAGCATAGTAAGAATTTATCTACATAATTGCGGAGTCACTCCACCCTTTACCATATTCGTTTATTGAATATTAAATAAGCTTTGCGCCATTTCTGCAAAGAGCTGAAGAAGAAGAATTCTGTTCTTCAAGAAATATTACCCCTTACCCGGGCACACTGTCTATTACAGAGGGCTTTTATCGAATACAGCATCTGACTAGATTAGGGTAGAAAGGTAAACAGGGGGAAGGATTTTTAGGGTAAAGGGAAGCCCTCTAGCGTATAATTCTTCCTTGTCGGAACGAAGAAAAAGGGCAGAACGTTTTCGATACCGGCAACGAGAAATCGAATTTCCGAATCTGAGTGTTGTGTTTAGGTACTTCTTAAAGGAAGGAGGAATATTTGTGGAAGGCAATCTTTGATCTTGTGCATAAAATAAGGAAATTTTCATCGATAAAAAAGCTAAAAGCTTACACACAATTCATCATTTAGTTCGGCAAATTTAAAAAAAAAAATTTTTCCTCTAGACATTAGATAATTCATAAATATCTATCCACATTTTTGCAATTTTCTAAAACCGTTAGTCAAAATCTTATTTACTAAATATTGACAAAATGATTCCTTGAAATTGAAATTATTTCTGGTAATTTTTTTTATCGGAATTCATCCGAAATTTTTGTAGTAAGCAGAAAAAAGGGGAAAAATGTATTTCAGTTTCAAATGTTTCTTTCCCCTTCCGATACTAACAATAAATATATTTTATTGATCTCTTCTTTTGTAATCAAGAGCTAAAGAGTTTAATTTTTGTAAAATAGTCAAGAAATAGACTGTGCACAGCTGAATCGGAACTTATATTATATTAAAAAAAGGAAGAAAAAAACTAGATGCAACTTACTTTAAAATTCATTGATTAGTGCTATGTCAGTAACTGTCTAATATATGTATATATATATATATATTTACTTAAAAGAATTTTAAGTGTGCAATTAACAGTTTACAATTGTTTATTAAACAGTTTACAATCTAGTTCCGCTTGATTTAGCGACAAATTTCGTTCTTTTGCATATTATAAAATGATTGGTTCTTAGTTTATTTTTATAAATATCACATATGAAAAAGAATCTCTAAAAATAAGAACACAATTATTAACTTTTGCCATTTTATATCCCATCACTAGACACACATATCAAAATATAAGAAATAAATTTTTAAGACAATCATCGAAAATAGAAAATATTTAAAGTTTTAGCAGTAAAATTTCAGTTCGAAATGAAATCGGATGAATTTTTTATTGGATATTTATTTAAAAAAATTATAATCTACATGAAAATATTGATTCTATAACTTAAATTATAGATAACACTTACTATTAAACATATTTATTTTACATTTAGAGTTTAACCTTAGAGGGGGAAAATGATCTGTAAAGGAAAAGTTATCGTTCTTTTCTTTACTCATAATTGAATTCTATAAGAAACTGAATGAAATAGAACTTACCATAACATGACTCATCATCTTCTTACGTCAGAGCATCACAACAATCCAAAAAGCAGTCTGGATTCCAAAAAGCAGTCAAATCAACTGCATAAAATTTTTTGATAAATGAAATGTTTAAACTTGAACAAAATGAACTGAACAGGGGCATCAAAGAACTTTCTGAACAATTTTTTCAGTAAAATTTAACAATAATTAAGTAACTGGAACAGTAGAACTAAAACAATTTCAAGACCGATCTGAAAAACAAAAGATACAGACATTTTTATTCTGTAACTCAATTACTNAAACATTGGATTACCATTGGACACTGAGAGTCTCTTCAATCAAGGTAGGAAATTTTCAATTTTAAAAATGTATAAAAATTCAAAGAAAGAAGACCTAGTAAAAGTATTAGAGGAAATAGGAGGCATCGCAGACAGCAGCGATAATATCGTTAAATTAAAAGAAAAAATTGAATGTTCCGAAATATTTAAGAATGATTCTGAATTTGTCAAAAATTTGATAACTAACGCCGTAGAAGAAAGAGTACAAATAGCAGACAGGGAACTAAAACAAAGCGAAATTCAGATTGAGTTAGAAAAACTAAAATTAGAAAGACTCGAGAAAGAAATGCTTTTATTAGAGGCGAAAAACAAAGCATTTGAAATTGACCCTCCCAAAACAATAAATGATACACCTCAAACAAACATTGAGAATCTAATTCATAGCATTAAAACTCTATCTCTTCCAGTTCCATCGAAACCTGAAAATTTTAATCAATTTTTTTCATCGTTGAAAAGAGCTTTTAGTACGAAAAACATAAATGAGGGGCTTAAAGCCGAAATCTTAATTAATATGCTAGGTGAAAAAGCAAACAGCATCTTGTTATACATTGAAGATGATTATTTAAAAAACTATGAAAAATTGAAAGCTTTAATACTTTTTTTTTTTTGCTTTTTTGACTTTCAACAAACTCCCCAAGAATGTTTGAATAACTTTAAAAATGCCTCAAAATTGAAGAAACATATATTCAATTTGCTACTCGCTTAAATTCACATTTCGAGTACTATTGTAAATTACGTAAAGTTGAAACATTTAAGTCATTATGCAACTTAATCATATCCGATTAAATAATTGAGACATTAAATAAAGAGATGGCGAGTCATATTTTAATCCGTCTGGGAGAAAATTGGTTTAATCCCGTCGAGTTAGGACGAGAATTAGACATTTACACTATGTCGAAAAATATGCCTTACAGAGAAGTTTCCAATACCCATAAATATGGGCAGAACACTTTTTTTCGAAGCGAGAAAAAATATTTCAGAAAAAACCAGCCGGATCGTTTTTCTCAACCGATAAATAAACAAATTAGAGCGGAGAAACAATGCTACATATGCGGAGAAATCAACCATTTTGCACGTGATTGCGAAGAGAGATCGAAAAAAACATATGATTCCAGAAACGATAAATCAGAAAGAAAAAATACCTCTCCCAGTGATAACTTAAAAAATGAAAGCTTTAGTGTTAATTCCTGCAAACCATCTGGAGAGAATAACTTTAAGCACGAGTTGAAGTATGCTGAGATTTATTTGAATGGAATTCCCGTTCAAGCCATAATTGATTCTGGGGCTGAAATATCGGTGATAAATTCAAATAAAATAAAGATAAGAAATCTGCCGTTTTCTAATATAATGCTAACATCGTGTTTTGGAAATAGGCAAAAAGCGAAACTTGTTGAGATCCATATGTCTTTATATCCCAATGAGTCAGGGTTGAAGCTCAGCGCCGCGATTTCAGAACATTTAACTTGTGATGCAATAATAACGCCCACTATCTATAATCAATTAATAAATCTAGGTCAGCTTTCTTCAAGTGAAAATATTCAAATCGTCAATTCTAAGAGTGAAGATTTTTATGAATGTTCTTGTTTCAATATTAATGACTCTTGCTCTTGTGAATGTTTTTTATTTAATATACACAAGTTGTATAGTAATGATGAACCTGATTTATCACATGTTAATGATCCTTGCATTAGAAATTAACTCTCAGTGTTGATTAATAATTATAAACCAAATAAAATTAAAGACACTAAGTTAACAATGAAAATTATTTTAAAAGATGAAATCCCAGTATGTCAAAGAGCTAGACGTTTATCTTTTTCTGAGAAACAAAAGGTAAATGATCAGATATCAGAATGGTTAAAAACAGATATAGTTAGAGAGAGTTGCTCTGATCATTGTTCCCCAATAGTTCTTTGCAAAAAGAAAGATAATAGCCTAAGATTATGCATTGATTACCGGAAATTAAATCCTAAAACAATTAAAGATAAATACCCCTTACCTCAAATTGAAGATGTGTTAGACAAGCTGCAGGGTGGCAAAGTATATAGTAAACTTCATTTAAGGAACAATTTTTTCCATATAGACGTGGACGAGGATAATAAAAAATATACCTCATTTGTGACACCTGATGGGCAGTATGAATTTAATAAAGTTCCATTTGGGTTGTGTAATAGCCCTAGTACATTCCAGAGGTACATTAATTACGTGTTCCGTGATCTTCTTAGAGAAGGTGTTGTTGTCATTTTTATGGATGATATTTTTATTCCCGCAGAGAGTGAAATAGACGCACTGAACAGGTTAACACGAGTATTACAAACTGCATCCGAATATGGGTTAGACCTTAACTTAAAAAAAATGCCAATTTTTGATGTCAAAAATTAACTTTTTGGGTTCTATTATTGAGAACGGTACCATGAAACCATCTTCCGAAAAAACATTAGCTGTTCAAAATTTTCCTGTACCTAAATCTATTAAACAGGTGCAGAGTTTTCTTGGGTTAACCGGATATTTTAGGAAATTTATTCTTAACTATGCTTTAATTGCTAAACCATTAAGTGATTTACTTCGGGATAACAGAGTATTTTATTTTGGCCCAGAACAACAAACAGCATTTCAAACTTTAAAACAAAAACTTTCTGAGAATCCAGTACTGCACATTTTTAAACAAGGAGCAAAGCTTGAGTTGCATACCGATTCACGTAAATTTGGGTATGGTGCTATTCTTTTTCAGCAATCTGATGATAACAAATTACACCCAATACGCTATATGAGTAAAAAAACGACTCCTCAAGAGGAGAATTATTCAAGTTATGAACTTGAAGTGTTGGCTATAATTGAGGCTTTGAAAAAATTTCGAAATTATTTGGTGGGAAATAAATTTAAACTAGTAACAGACTGTTCAGCTTTCCAAAAGACTATGAGTAAAAAACAATTAACTCCTAAAATTGCTAGATGGGCATAATTTTTGGAAGACTTTGACTATGAAATTGCACATCGCCCAGGTAAACAAATGAAACATGTTGATTGTTTAAGTATATATCCTATTATGCATATTACTTGTGACGAGTTAACCTCTAAAATTGTTTCTAACCAGTTAAATGATGAATACATTAACTCTATTCGATTCTGTGGAGTTTGGAGCTGTTGTTACAGTATTATAGTGTAATAGCTTCGAACATTACGTCATTCACCATCTTGTAATATTAAAAGAAGTTGCATCATCCTCTTGACATTGAGAGGCGCCATCCTGTCCCGAAGGGGAAGTCCCGAATTTATAATTAACTCTCACTTTATACCATAGAACAATCTAATTCTTAGTCACATGCATTCCGGAGACTGCGAGAAGGCAGCTCTCACGAGTCATGTCAATAATGTTAACTGCTATATCCTTCTATCCCTTTCATTTCTATTAAATTGTTAAGTTTATTAAATTATCGTCATTATTTCATCTAATGCTGCACTATCTCCCACATATATATTAACACCACCAATTACCATAATAGCAGTAGTAAGTTTTACCAAAATTTACCAAGCATTATTGGCATCAATAATAGTCAGGCGATTCTTTACTATTCCTTCAAACGGAAAAGTACATTTTCTCCATTAAGTTTACTTTTTAACTAATTTCTTATTTCAATTAAAACATATTTAATTTCATAACGGGCGTTAAACGGCCGATCAAATTTTTGGATTTACGACTACCAATATTCAACTTCATAGCCTTCTAATTTTGAACCCAATCCAGAAGACAAGGGAACTCCTGGACCAAGTATTGGGATGCATATACCTTCATGGAGGATTTTCTGATGGAACTAACCCACATTCGCGTTACATAAGGAGGAAAACCAAAAAACACCTCCCGACTATTAACATTAATTTAAGATAATTGGTGTCAATTTAATTTTTTTACCCTTCCCTCAAGCAAATTAGAACCACCGTTAATTTGCATATTTAGAACTCATAGTTTTTTTATTTCAATATTTACCTATTGTTAAAATTGGAATATCATCAATGGCATCAATAATAGTTGATTACTTAATTTCTCTAAATGAATTAATAACACGTTTCCATTATTTTTTTATCCGCGCGCGACTTCCTTCTTTCATTTAAATTGCCATTAATTTTAAATTATTCAGTTTTATAAAAAAAGTTTTAAAGGCATAACTATGAACAAATTAAGTGTCAGATAAATTATTGCACTATTAGGGAGACGTAGTTCGCTCATGCCAACTTGTTCAAATCGGTCATTTATTCTGTCTGATATAATGAATATTAATTACACTTTGAAAAACGTGTAATAAACTCTTTTTTTTATCTAATAGATAAGCTATCAAACTTACCGAATCTTATCTTTTAATTATTTAGAAAAAATAGAATTGTCCGTAATTTAAATTTAAAATTACGGCTAACGTTTCACCGATCAGAAAATCGCAGTTTTCAAACGGTTCTACCAAGCAAATTATTTGAAAATTTAGGAGCGAGGTCAAACTTTGTTCCTTGCAGCCACTATCTAAATTTCAGGAGATTTAAACTAAAGGTACTTGAGTTATAGGAGCAAGAAACACACGTAATAAATAAACCCTTCCTTTTACTGCTATGGACGATTTTATAAGACTATAATAAAACAATAAATATTATTGAAAGCTTAAAGTATGTATAAAAAATAATTATAAAAAATAAAGTAGTTTTGCATATTTTTCAAAGAACTTTAGTCTTTTGAAAGCATAAGAGTTCTTTTTTTATGTAAAAAAATATACTTTAAATCCATTTATTTTCCCTTGGATAGAAATACATTAAACAAAGCCTAATACATAACTAATATGCATATTTTGCTAGAATATTAATAGTGATACCAGATAAAAAATTTTAAATATATTTTTCACTATTTAGAAACTTTTATTTCATGAAGATATTTTCGTATCATGAATATTAAACATATTTTAATTCGCATTTTATGCTTGTAATATAAATACTTAAATTTACTAAAAATTATGAAACGTTATTTTTCTTGTAGTTAGCTATTTTACAAATAACTAGATTAATGTCAAAGCGCAGTCTTCTATATTTTCTCAATATTTTTTTTCCTTTCAAACAATTTTTAAGATATTTTCTTTTGCTATAAATACAGTTTTTAACCGGCTTAAAGTATTAAAAAAAGCATGAAATAAAAACATTATTATAATAAAGATACATGTACAAAAACATTTTACATTAATGTATAATGGGTTTTATCAATGAATTTATCTAAGTCTTAAAGCTAATGCATTATAAACAGGGATGAAAAAAACGGATTACAGAAGTTATTTATTTTTTTAATGAAGCATAAATAATTACATTTTTTTAAAAAACATTTTTTATGAAATATAAATTACATTTTTTTAGTTTTTTTCCAGCCTAATCATAGTTAAAAATTTGTTATTCCTTAAAAACCAATATTACAGACAATATTAGAAAACTCAATATTATTCCGTTTTTTCAGACTCATTTCTTTGCTTTAAAGGAAACAATTCTAGTTTAAAAATTTGCATGGAAATTTTAATTTTATAGCTGTTTGAAACAGCTAATATTGTTTTCCATGAAAAAGAAATTTGTTTTTTGACTAAAAATAATGCATTTATGTTTTAGTTTTTTTTTCTTTTTTTTTTACAAGAGCAACAATTTACACCTATAATACAATGGCATAAGAGACTTTTTTATTTACTTACAGATTTACTTTTTCACCTCTGGAACATGAGATATGAACTGATTCGCACGAAAATAGCTGAAAAAGATAGTTCAAAGATATACTAATGAATAATTAATGTACTAATGGATAATACAAATGAATAATTAATTTTGATTTATTTCATTATTTTTTCATTTTTTTGAGCAATAAAGAGAAATTTTATACTGTTGTGTAAAGCGAAAACGTATTATTTCCAGTTTATTTATAATTTTTTTACATGTTCGATTTTCTTTCTTACTATTACTACTGAAGATTATGCAACAGGGTTAAACAATTCTAAAATCTGTGACAATTTCATTCAGCCAATGGTTAAACTCTTTTTTAAAAGATCTGTCTTATCTATAAACATTCTAAAAAATAGATTTCAACGTTTCATCAAATAATTTTCATCACTTTAGTTGCATTAAATATAATAAGTAATAGTTGTGAAGTTGTACAATTATAGTCGGGTTTTAAAAAAACGTAATTGATGTAAATAATTAACAAAACAAATCCACGGTTATTATTTAGACCAATTTCTCAGTGATACGCTAAACTAAGTTTTTGATAAGAAGTTGTCCCAAAATAAAAATAAAAAGTTGCTTCAAACGTTGATTAAAGATTGAACACAATCATTAAGATCCTTCCTTACCCTTAACCGAAGAAGACCCTTAACCGATGAAGACACTACTCGAATTGTGTATTGGGCTTTTCTTAAATCTGAGCTTATGAGGAAATAAGTTCAATTATTTTTACGCTCAATTCAATAGTGACAAATGATAAACCAATGATAATAAAGTTAAATAGTAATAAATGATAAAAAATGATAATAAAGTTCAATAGTAATAAATGATAAGCTAAGGATAATTAGTTTCATTATTGATAAATATAAACCAATGATAATAAAGTTCAATAATGTTAAATGATAAATAAATGATAATGGTCTCTAGTGATAAATGATAAACCAATAATAATTAAGATTGATGCATTTGAAGCT